TCCAAGCAAATGTGAACTTAGCTTTCAAAGGTTCTTTTTCATCACTTTATATAAACCAATTGGGATTTGGAAGAGTGTACTTCAAAGACAAATGGCAAAGCTACAATTTGAGAAGAACTCAAGGAGAATATTTTGTCCTTTATGCCTCTTAATCTTGAATACTGCTAGAACAATAATACTATATATATGCTCTCTCTTTCCACACTATGCTTGTCTTCCCAATGTTAATTAATTACTTAAATTGACACTAGGAATCATTGTATTTTTATTATTTCTCTATTTTTTTAATATATTTATTTATGAGTTTATATATGATTTCATTGTCCAAGTACCAATTTTATACATTATCATGTACAGATAGTATATCCAATATAATCTCTTTATTTATTTGATAAAATATGGGATCTCCTTATTGGTTGCTTTAAAAATTACATTAAAATTAAGCCACAATCCTTCACTAGGAAATCAGAGTTGAGAAAATTCAAAAGGTCTACATTCATTAATGTTTGCACTATACAAACTCAACTACTTCGAAGATATTAATGAATGGCTATTGCTAATTGGCTAGAATCAATTAATTTCATTGGAAAAGAGGCACAAATGTCCAAATGACAATTTGAGAAAACCTTGCCATTTAGGGCAAATCATAGGAGTAGAGTTTTTCTGAAGGTTTGGGTTCTTTTTGAAAACTTTATAGTACTAAGAAAATGTTACCATTAATTTATTAATTTAATTATGGTCAATGAAGGGGAAAAAAATTAAGTTGGGGAATCTCTGGCCAGCACCAAAGCATTTATAACATAAATGAAAGAGACATTAAAAAGGGCAAAAAAACCAAATGATTTCAACAGCTTGGAAATATGTTGATTTGTTCAATGAGTATTGGTCTACAACAATTTTTAAGTCTATTCAAGCTCACCCATTAATAAAGGTTTTTAACTTTATTAATGTAATAATGGGTTTTTGTTAAAAATAGACACCTTTTAAGATTATTATATTAATTATAATATCTTCTTTTAATGTATTAAAATTCATCACATGAGTTGTCAAAGATGACATTAATACAAAAATATTATTATAAATAAAATTTTAACTTGCCTTAAATAGTGATATGAGGATACTCGTATTTAAAATAATTTTGAGATGGCTAATTTAGAGTAGGAAACTTTCTTCATGAAGGCTTTTATTAAGGATTCAACTAAGTGTTTATAAGACTATTTAAGAATAATTAAAATATTATTTTAGAAAAAATTTTGTATTATTAATACACTATTTTCATCAAATGTAAGAAGAGACAAAAAAATTAATTATAAATTTCTTTTTTTAAATATAATGTTAATTATTGACTTAATGTTAAGAGCTTATGTTTTCAACTCAAAAACTCATGTTTATACTCCCGAAATCCATTCTATCGACTCAATTTTACAACCTATAGAGAATAAAGATCCTTACATTGTTTCGAATTTATTCTTATCTCTCATAAGATCCCACATGAGATTCGTGACATTAACATCTTCATAATAATAATAATATGAGAACAAAAATGAAAACTTTTTTCTTTGACTATAAAGGTAAAAATTCAGGGTTTATATATGATGATCACTTAATTATAAAGTATAAAGATAAAAGTTTAAAAATCTTTCAAAACAAATATTTTTAAGAATTCTTTATTTTTAAATTTATTTATTAAAAAATCGATAACATTTGATTCACAAATAGCACATACAATTTATATACTAACAATGCATTAAATATAAATCTGAAAAACTTAATTATCTTTTTTTGAAAGTCATTATTTTCTTAATGTCTAAGCATTACTAATGTTCACACCATATACTTTTGTCTTATAAAAACTTTTCCCTCCTAAATATTATTATTTTCTAAATTTCAAAATGAAAATTAGCTAGCCCATGTATTCTTGCTCCTAAAACTTCTCTAAATTTAGTATAGAATCCTCAAATCACTCATATTTTTTCAAAAAAAAAAATTAAAAAGATTTTATCCTTTTTCTTTGCGTAAAATTCCAACCAAAAAGATTTTGCTACATTATTCTTACCAATTTCAAATCAATCCCAACCAAGAAGGCCACGTTTGGCTTACCAAAATTCTTTTGCCCTTTTTCAAATAAAGCAACAAAAAAAAAATTGAACTCAAAAATGTTTATGGCAGGCATAGACCAGTTCAAATAGCAAAATGACCAAAACACCCTTCTCTTACACTTGAACAAACGAACGCTCCTTCAAGGGACATTCTCGTAAAAAAACAACCTCGAATAACAAAGATTTTCCTTAGGCCTTTTACTCGGAAAATTATGCAGTAAGGTCATCATTTTTTACCTTACTGTAAGTTTAATTAATAAAGATCATCAGATCTATAAGATTAAATTATAGTCATTGATTTAAAATTTATAAAAAAATTGGTAAATTAATTCAACTGGTAAACAAAAAATTCTCTTTTTGATGGACTCTTTTTATGCTTTATTAATGAAAATTATTTATTTGCATTTCTTTTATTATTAGTTGAAATTTCGCATTATCATTATAATAAATTAAAAAATCAAATTTTAAAATATATAATAATAAAAACAAAAACATATACAATTTAAAATTATCATTAAAAAACTTAGACAAAGTTTTTAAAAGTTATGATTAAAAATCCTTAACGTAAATCAATAAGAATTGAAATAATTAATTAAATAAAAAAAATCTAATTTTAGTAAAAAATAAATATTTAAATTTATATTTTCAGACAAAAAGTGTTTAACGATATATAAATTTTAATTTTTAAACAAAGAATAATAAGGATTAAAATAATTATAGTTTAAAATAGATATAGAAAAATCTTAACGTAAAATTATAAGAATTGACGTCAAACTTATAAATATAAAATAATTAAATTTTAAATCTTAACATAAATATATGAGGGTTAACATAATAAGTCAATTAAGTAAAAAAAATTTAATTTTATTAAAAAATAAATATTTAAATTTATATTCTTGAAATAAAAATATTTAACGATATATAAGTTTTAATTTTTAAATAAAAATAATAAGGATAAAAATAATTATAGTTTAAAATTAACATAGATAAACCTTGACGTAAAACTGTAAGAATTAATGTAAGAACTTGTAAAGGTGGAATAATTAAATTTTAAATATTAACGTAAATATGTGAGAGTTAACATAATAAGTTAATTAAGCAAAATAGTCTAATTTTAACGAAAAATAAGTATTTATATTTATATTATTAAGCTAAAATAATGTAACAATATATAAATTTTAATTTTTAAATAAAATAATAAAGATAAAAATAATTATAGTATAAAATTGACATAAGTAAGTTTTAACGTAAAACTATAAGAGTTGATGTAAAAATTTATAAAAGTAGAATAACTAAATTTTAAATCTTAACGTAAATGTATGAGAGTTAACGTAACAAGTCTATTGAGTAAAAAAAAAATCTAATTTTAGTGAAAAATAAATATTTAAATATATATTCTTGGACTAAAAGTGTTTAACGATATATAAATTTTATTTTTTAAATAAATAATAATAATATAAATAATTATAGTTCAAAATTAGCATAGATAAATCTTGACGTAAAATTATAATAGTTGACGTAAAAACTTATAAAGGTGGAATAACTAAATTTTAAATATTAACGTAAATGTGTGAGAGTTAACGTAATAAATTAATTAAGTAAAAAAGTCTAATTTTAATAAAAAATAAGTATTTATATTTATATTATCGGGCTAAAAATATGTAACGATATTTAAATTTTTATGTTAAATAAAAATAATAAAGATAAAAATAATTATAGTTAAAAGTTAGTATTGAAAAGGTTTGACGTAAAATTGTAAAAATTAACATAAAATTTTATAAAAGTGAGATAAAAAAATTAAAATTTTAACGTAAATATGTGAGAGTTAACGTAATAAGTGATAATAATAAT